TTCAAGTTACCGACTGGTGGCTCTTCTCTCCATACCTTCAAAAATCATGGAGTCCCCGATATGCGACGGTTTAAACGACTATCTACTGTCCTTAAATTTCTTCTCACCCCAACAGCATGGTTTCAGGAAGGGTTACTCTTGTATTACCAACCTGCTGATTGCGGTGGACAGATGGACAAGCATCCTCGATCGCAAGGGAAAGGTTGATATCATTTACCTTGATTTCTCAAAAGCTTTTGATAAGGTTAACCATTTGTGTCTTATCAATAAGCTCAAACAACTAGGTATCAAACCACCTCTAATCGATTGGCTTACTTCATACCTAAAAAATCGACACTTTAAGGTTAGAGTTAATTTCACTTTATCTCAGGCTATGGAATGTCCTAGTGGGGTGCCCCAGGGCTCAGTACTAGGGCCTCTTCTCTTCATGATCTACATAAATGATCTTCCTCAACAGGTAACGTCAGACTTATTACTTTTTGCCGACGACGTGAAACTTTGGAGAGAGATACGCAACCAAGACGATATACAGGCACTTCAGGAGGATCTGACTCGACTTCAAAGTTGGGCAGACGATAACGGACTTACCTTTAACACTTCAAAGTGTAAAGTAGTCCATCTGCGACATGTCGCAGACTACAGTTACAACTTAGGAAACTCCTCTCTAGTAGTATCCCAAGTCGAAAAAGATTTAGGAGTCCTGATGCCCCATGATTTGAAGTCCTACGCTAACTGTGACAAAAATGCCTTCCGAGCAAACCTTGCACTGGTAACGTTGAAGCGCATTTTTGGACAGTTTGACGGACGAAGTTTCCATACAATCTTCAATAGTTTCATCCGTCCCCATTTAGAGTACGGAAACATAGTACTCCCCCCTCACTCCAAAAGGACAAGGTCACTTTGGAGCGTATCCAACGGCGAGCCACGAAATCAGTTCGAGGACTCAAATCTAAACCTTATGAAGAACGCCTCCATTCACTTAACCTTTACCCATTAGAATATAGACGTTTTAGAGGTGATTTATTGATGGCTTATAGTATTCTTAACACTTCTGGACATCCTCTCAGACACCTACTTAAGCTTAGTTCGAATAATAACCTAAGGGGCAACACCCAGAAATTGGAAACACAACATAGCAAGACGTAATGTAGACACAACTTCTACTCCTTAAGAGTTGTCAAATGCTGGAATTCGCTGCCGGCCGAGCTAGTTCAAGCAAATTCCCAGGAGTCCTTTAAGAGGCAACTTGATCTATTCTTAAGAACTAAGGATAGTATCACATTATGATTTACTAATTTCTTTTCCTCTTTTATTGTTAACATACCTAGGTTCCTGCCTGGAGGATTTGGTGATCCTCTGCAACTAGAAACGAAAGCCTGTTAAGCGAAAGCTTCTTCTATTCCGTCCACAACCATTTGAACATGCTACTACTCGACAGTGCGGGTATTTCCAAATGGACGCCACGACTTAAGTCTACGGGCTGTAAGTTCAAAATGGTTGTAAGTTGTAAGTCATTGAAACATATGTCTCACTTAGTGTTACTAACCTGGGATCCCTAAAACGTCTGTTGCCTACGGATTCTTGCATAATTTACTGTCCATACTGTTTGGCACAACGTGTTTTACAACTAGTCTCCCCCGAATATTTGCCTATTTAGTCACCAGTCAGCTGTGAATCTAAACGATTTCGGGTTATTTCATCACATTTTCTAAAAATCACTCGCGGAGTGCTTTTTTCTTATACTCTGGATATATAAATGCACCTACAACACCTATTCCATATATTTAGATATACATTGCCAGAAGTTAGCCTAGCACAGTGGAATGCAACAGATGAACATCAAATCTTGAGAACCAAACGCTTTAAATGCATGCATATATTGGCTTGCTAGACACTACCAAGAACCCCTTTTGTACCTGGGACGAGTGTGTTGAATGACTCCCCGAGCTCCCAATTTTGGTTAAGCCCCCAACGTTTGGGGAAATATTCGGGTTTTTGTGCCATTTCCCCAAAATTGGGTGCTCGGATCAGCAATTTCTAGATCAATAATATGTAGAAATTATTAGTCCCATGAGTCATCGGAAGGGTAATGACTCCACAGATTTCATGAAGCGCAGTTAAATATAGACAATAAATTTAGTGACACCTATCGAAAAGAATGTCTGTAGGCCGCATTTTAGGTAGGTAGGTGCGGACTATCAGCTAAGAGTCTGCATGGTCATCGTAACAGATGTTTAGGGCTGCCATAGTTCAGCATCGTTTACAATGACGCGTGTTCACCAGGTCTATCTCCCCTTTAAGTTGATGGAATCCTCCTCGCTGATTTATATTTTAATCGTATCATGGATCCCTAATCTTTCCTATTACCACTAATCTTTTCACTGCCTCAACTATTCTGGGATTTACCCTTACAAATTCATCTCACCTTTGAGGATAGCAGCGTACACTGGTATACACGTGTTAGGTTCTACTTTCCCTTTGACTGATTGATTCTAAATCCTCGTCAATTAACTGTCGCCACTTGTAGAGATCGTTAGTATTTTGATTTACAATTGTAAAGTTTTGGAGTCATGAGTAGTAACCCTAGTAAATTTGGTATTCAAATTAGTTTAAGTGGTTAAGGTAGTGTTTCTGCTGATCATTACCGACGAGTGCGTTAGACTTGTTAGTCACTGCAATCACCAGATAGTACGTAAATAAAAATGAGGATAAAATTGCTCTATTTTCCTTTTGCACAGGGGCGACATACAATAATAAGACTCAAAGCCGTGAAAGATTCTGCCCCATCGTTCCAGTCTCTTATTTTCAGCGAACCACCTCATCCCCAACTATACTTCCATCAGTTATCGGCCTTTTAGACCCAGTCGGCTTATTTGTTCGTGAATGTGCACTGCTAGCCTCGTCGCCTTTGCTTTCATGTCAAAAGTTATAGTCGAGTTGCTTTTCCCCATAATTTTCGAATTTATTTAAGGTAAGCTACTGAGTGTCCATTATGCCGGGTTTTACCTTGTATTTGTTCTGAAGTTCCTAAGGCTGCCAACACAGTGCGATCAGTTAGACTTCTCAGAAATGCAATTGTTAAACTACTGACTTTTAAATACAAAGCTTTTCATTGACTCATCATTCCTCCTATTTTTCAGTTACTACGAAAGTTGCCTACTCTTCAATCAACTGAAAATATTCCCGAAGACCTCGTCCCTATCGTAACTAAGTTGATTTTATTGTCCACGTTCACCATGAAGAAAATAGTAGAATGGCTTCTTGTTTTATCTTTGATTTCCGCAATATGGGTGTCTAAATTAATGGGGATTATCACTGTACAGTCTGACTGCGGAAACATGATACTCAACTGGTTGCCTTTTCACCTATTATTCATTTTTGTAACAGTTTCCGTTTTGATTATACTTTATCGTACATACAGTTTTAATGATTGTCCAGAGGCGTCCACGGAGCTTATGAAGCTAGTCAGTGAAGCAAAAAAAGACCTCACAGGCCGTGGATTTGTTTTTGAATCTTGATTACTAAAGAACATAAACCTAAATATTTTTGCACTGTGATTAAGCTTTCCTGATGTTAATTGGTCAGTACATAAACTGTATAGTCTCACTTCTGCAATTACAGTATAAAGACATTTTGTACTGTCACACCAATATTTTTGGTTTGCACAATAAGCAGCCTATCGTGTATAAAATCTATTTTGAAAGTTCGTTGCTTTTTTAATTCCATTGGGTAAATAGGATTGGTCCTAATTAAAAGGTATATTGATGAGATGAACTATGAAGATTTGCCCTAAGGCGTTGTACTTTAAATGACCATACGCCCCCTTAAATACAGTTGATTATTTGGATCCCTCATAGAGTAATATAATCGACTATTTATTTCACGTACCGTCTTCACATGTAGGGAATACACCCTTTTCCTAAATGTCATTCAGTAGCATGATCTGAGTAGATTGTTTGTGTAGCTCAAATTACTGAGGGTTTCACTTCGATTTACATTAAAAGAGCCTGCTGTTAAAAAACTACGGGTGTGTAACACTAGCCCATTAGTTGAGGGTTAGCTCGCCATACCGAATCAGCCGTAGTTATTTATTTGAACACAAATAATAGCACAAAGAGGCGCCGAATACATATGCGCCACACAAGTCACTTGATTGTGTGTGGGTGTGATACTGTCCAGACCAAAGCAAGTGGTTTTCTTAGAGGGCCATACCCGAATTCTTCGACCTAAAAGTCTAATTCACAAGGCAGTAGAGAAACATCAGGAGATGCAGTCCCATGGTAGTCGGTGGCCAGTAACTAGTTTGTACGCTATTTTTTCCCTTAGGATCCTGGAGCCCATGCGCACCATTGGTTTGGAATCAGGGTTTTCCTACTCCTGTAGGTGGATCCTCCATATCCACCAACCCGGTTTAAGCGCCGAACATTCTCTTTTCGTCCTCTCAATTTCGTGAACAACAGTCCCCCCACGAGGACTTCCCTGGCAGTGGCCGTATACGCGTGGCCATGTGAGAGCATTTCAAGAGATCGGACTCTCTCTACCCTCGGCCGTACCAGTGCATTTGTGGGCGCTCAAGGGGGTATTGGCCCCAAAGATATCACAAAGCGAAAATGAGAATCTTTCAGCGTGTAACCTGTTGATTCTTCCTTCTTTTCTCGGCCCTTAACCAACGAGTCTGCTCAAACACATGTATTTCGTTTACGAACTGTGTTGATCCACAGAATTGATGTCTTCATTTTAGGTACCGGCTAACACACAACCTCTTTATGGTGTCCATGTTACAGAACATAAAGACGCTAGATAAAATCACCATTCTACCAAAGAGGAAAATGGCATGTTCCCGAGATCTAAAGTTTTCCATTGTTACTCTAAAGAATTAAAAAAAACGGTCTCGCAACAACGATACATACTGAATTAATTTATGTATCGATAGAGAATAATATTTAGTTAGCCACTTTAAACGCGTAGATTCATTTTTATCAGTGAAAATTCATTTAATCAGATAATTTCTATTCGCAGAGAACTAAGATTGGCGTAAAGTTTTTTTCTGTTACCTAACATGTAATTTCCAAAGAGACTGATACATAAAAATTGTGTTTATTTCATTTATATGTACAAAATTACAACTTAAATTAGAACGAAACGTTAGCTTTCGCGTCATCAGCTATAGATTCTGCAGAAAAGATAAGAAAAGCATGCTACTTACTGTTACTTCTTAAAATTCCCTTGGCTGGAATAACACTAACCGGTGGGGTTAGGGAGATGCAACGAGCTGAGTTAAATTCTAAAATTTACATTATGGAGAACTGTGCAGTAAACCTACTCTTACGAAATACCTTACCGAAGGATACACGTCTTTCAGAAGAAAGCGGAGTGTTTGAAGTACACTTTTCTGCAGAAGCAGAGTTACCACTTATTGAAACATTAGGAGATATAAATTGACCGACGTTTGGTTTGGATTCATCATCACATACTGAAAAAGGGCATGGAGAATCAGGAACTACACATGGAACTGCTGTGCATTCGTCAACAGACTACAATTAGACGTAATTACATAAGTTACCTTTGTGGGTATTTCAGACTTCATTCTCTTCGGACGTGATTCTTCGACAAAATTATCAGCTTGATTGCTGAACTCTATATTTACGGGCTAAAAGTAGTTGGAAAGTAAGTAGTGAATTACGTTAGCGGTCTCAGCATATGAACGTTTTTTAATCACCCGTTTTTTCTTCTTTAAAACCTTCGCAATTTTTTTCTTTCCGATCTGAAACAAGTCAAGTTTATCAGGAATACTCACCTTAAGCTCTGATGAACCACCTTCACTATTTATATTCTCACAAGTATTGGGAACGAGATTTGTCGTCTATGCGGAGTAAACATAGTGGAACATTCTTTTACCTCAGGTGACGACTCTGCACATAGCGTGGGAATCTGTCCATCGGTTGCTACTGATGTAGTTTCTCTATTTGCCAGAATTCTTTTTAGACTAAAGAAAGCCACTAGATAATCAGGCAGTTAAATTACTTTGTGTCGACTCGTTTTAAAGCGTTTCTATAGGAGGAATCTTTGCTTAAAATATTCTCAAGACATTTCATAATACGATCCAAACAACACTGAATTAAAATTATGTTTAAAAATAAAGGAACCAAGCATACTTGTGGACGTCTTCGAATAAGCTTTGTTATCCGAGTAATCAGAGATAGGACACTGTGAGCGTAAATGTTGTGTCTAAATAACAATAAAAATCATTCAAACGATCTCACTTCGGTAGGGAAGCTAGTAAAACCAGGAGATATTGAAAGACTAACTGCAGAGATAACATTTTTACGTTCTGCCATTCCACTATAGTTAAAAACTTAAAGACACATACCTTTTTCGGAAGTTCTTCACCTATTAGAGTGCAGAAATGCAATTTTAGACCAACAGCATGATTTATGTCATTGTTCAATATCTTGGTGAAAATGGCCTCCACAAATGAAGGTAAAATTTCAGGTTTTTTGCAAGAAATAAACTGAAGGCCTCTCGTAAAAAATTCTCGTCCGAGCTAGATAACAACGAATGAACTGCATTTCAACTTACCAGCATAAATTTGTCTACCCTCCAGTAATCTAAATTGTCCCATTCTCTTGCTAGTGTTTCAAACATAGCATAAGAATAATACAATGTGACCGTGTTGTCCTCAATATTGGGTAATATGTTACATAACCGGACGACCGTTTGTTCCTTTGTGTAAAAAATATAAATTGAATGTAAGTACCTTCAGCAGCAACTTGTCCTGCATCCATAAACTGTAGTGAAGACCTTTGCAAATGCCTAGCAACTGTTCGTAAGTCCAATCATCTGTAATGGTCGATTAAACGAAGACAATGGTTATAAAAAAATAATGTAGATTTATGTAACTGTAATACATAAGAACAAGTTCATTTTCAAAGCTTCACAACCAAGAAGTTATACAACCACTAGTATGAAAACAATTAATATGTCTAATAACATACAATCAGTCGTGGCAAAAGGTAAATTACATAAGTTTGGCATTCTCATAAACAAATTTAGATATTACAATATTTGAGAAATACTAAGTCGTCAGGTTCTGAATAGTTACTACACTTAATTTTTCCTGAAAATAAAACCTTAAGGAACTATTCTTTTCCTTAACTACATATTCTATGGCCCAACTTTTACGTCCAAATCACAGTATATGATAACATCTCGACTCTGGTCATCATAATTTGGGGGAAGAAATTGAGAAACATACCAAAGGAAGCCTGTCCCATTGCAACTACCAAAGTCAATGGCAAACTGTTGCATAAATTAGTTATTTGGTAGCAACAACAGTTAGAACCATCGACTACACAACATAGATTACCCGAAATTCTGTTAATTTAAATAGGAAGAAAACAGTAGGTTAGATTTTTGGGTTGAATTACATTGGGTTTTGTATGGTCAGTTCGTAACGACAAGGGAGCAGTTGCAATGGCCTATTTCTAACCCGATTATCGATTAATTCGTTTGTATTGCCAGTAGGACTGGTGAACTATTTACGGATTGACACATCGACCAATGAACAATAACCAAGATGTCGACCCTTATTGGTCCCTCAAGCTCCTGACTGACTGACTAATCAAAAAGACGAAAGTAGAAGGCAGATCAGTCTTCTACTGCACTCAATTTTATTTCGACTTAAAACCACAAAATAATGTCAGTCAGTCAGTAACAACGTAGAACTTCGTACGTACGTACATCAGTTCGAGTTGCCACACCACATTAGCACAGAGATGCAGTTTTCGATTCAAATCCCGTAGTGGTAGAGGTGGTAAGAGTATAAGCAGTAATCGGAAACATTAGGGTTTGAAGATGAAATGTCTTGACCACACAGCAACATAAGCAGAAAAACTTTAAATGTATATAACTTGATCATAAATGATCCAAGACCAGAATGATAAGCAAGTAATCAATTAATGATGTCTGGAATGATGAGTCACAACGATTTATGGATCAAACGAAGGCTTAGAGATGGAAGAACATAGGAATGCAATAATTTAAGTACTTAATGAAGAACAAAAATATAAATAACTTCAGTTAGAACAGTTCCGAAAGTTCGAATTTTCCAATACTCGTCCCGTTATAACACAATTGAACCCAAATCTTGGTTAGATTGTTATGGGATCCTTGTAGTTTTATTGTTTTTTGACCAGCCAAAACTTTCGACTATTTTTGGATAGGAGGTTTATTCGTCAAATTAGAATTGAAAAACCCAGCTATTAAGTTTCGAGGACATTGCTGTATAACAGTGGAACTAAACTACGGAAAACATAGATTAGTATTGACTATTCGTCTCCAAACACGACCACATGTCGATGAACCCTATCAAAAACTTTCCATCGCAAGTCACTGCTATAACATCTCCAGATAACTGGGCAAAGTTTCAATCAATACGAATTGGAACCAACTCGTCAACTTTACGCCCGTTAGGTATATATGACTGGTTAAATCGACATTTAAGCACAGTGTAGTACGAGTGCGTATCTATACATGCTGGCACATTAAAAGTGAGAAAATGCCAAGAACTGTAAAGTAAGAAAAAATAATGGGATATCGATTTTAAAGCCAAACTTTGGTTTTTATTAATAGAATCTGACCAGAGGGTGAATGGAAATTAACAGGTTTATTGAATTATCTAAACGTTGACTGCACATGAACCACGAATTTTCATGCAAGATGTTTTCGATAAACTCATATTGGCAATTTGGCTGATGATTGCACTATCGTTTTCGGCAGGATCTAGATTGTCTGAATCAAGTCACTTATGTAGGCTGAAAGGTAGAATGCTAAGCATTGAACTTATCAAGAGTTCAGTTAGTCAGCCATCTACAACGTAGGACCAGGCACATATATGCATCGGTCCAAGTTGCCACACCTCATTAGCATAACAAGATAAACACCAAATTCATAGTAGTTACTTCAATTGTAGTAATATATAAAAGAAAGATTGCATATGAGGATATGATACAGGAAGAAATAATTAGTTCGTAGAGAGAAAGGTGTAAAGTAATTTTAGTGTCACGGTTTAAGGAAAGACAAAGAGTGTATACACCTACCCCAATGTGACCGATTCTGAGCCATGTCACCCAGTCAGCTACAACGTAGGATCAGGCACATATATGCATCGGTCCAAGTTGCTATACCTCATTAACACAACAAGGACACCGGATTCATAAAAGTAGTTAATTCAAAGGTGGTAATATATAAAAGAAAGATTGCAAAAAGGATATAGTACATGTCACCCAGAGTCTCCAACCATTGGTTAAAATAGTTGTGCTGACCCCAACCAAGTAGTCTGGATCTACCAACATGGCTCAGACCAGAAGTTAGTGAATTCAAGCACTGATGGCACTTCTTGGTTTGACTTTTCCCATCCGTCTTCAACACTAGTCAGCATTGGATATCGTGGTAATCGGTGGTTGGGCATGATAATAAGTGACCCCACCGTTTCAGTCGAAGATTCACAACCTCATCGTTCTCTAATACTCTGTGTCTAACCTCATTATTACTTTTCTGGTGATCCCAGAAGATGAGAGCAATATTACTGTGATCAAATATTAGTAAATTACGAGTATCTTCTACTCTTAATAGCCGAGTTTCGTAGCCGTAAAGTAGAACAGAACGAACTGTTGAGCAATATACTCATTCCCTAATTGACAAACGGATATCTCGCCTTCGTCATAGGTGACGTAAGTCCAAGATAAATGAAGTTGTCGACGCGTCCAACAACTTTACTCCATATCATCAAATCAGGTGTGGACGCAGGCCAGTCATGAAGCAACAACTTTATATATATATATATATCCTGAAACTGCAATGGTCTTATCATAAACTGGCAGTGTTAAGACATGGGGAGTAACACAAAATGATAAAGAAATATTAAAGATATTCAGGATGCTGAATATCTTCGAAGATCGACATAGGTCAGCAAAATTCTTGTTTGATAAGTGCCTCTACCGAAATGTTTCATACTCCAGCGCTACTCATTGTGGAAAGTCCCGAGTTTTCCAGTGATCATCCCTGACTACGAATAATCGTAGTTGCTAAAATTAGCAACTTCACAGAGTAAACTTTCAAGGTTAAAATGTATTTGCACATTAGAGGCATCTTACTAGATCCTTAACCATAAGGACTAGATAAATCAACAAAGTGGACTTCGACAAATTAAATTAGTGACTCGATGACATGCATAATTTTGTCTATTGTTTTTGCTGACATTTCTGTAATGTCAGAACAAAGTTTATAAATATTACATAAGTCTAGAATCATTTGGCACTTTACTGAACAATATAGTGATAAATGAATAAATCCAACCTTTTCCATTCAATGATTTCTTTGAAAGAAGTACTTTTACTTGCTTCTGTGCTTTTCGCCTCACTTTATCTTGATTAGAGGCTAGAGCTTTAGCTAATTTACGAACAACGTCCATCTAGCAACAACGCACGCGACGTCAAAACAACCGCTGTCAGCAATTCGAACTTGACGGGCTGAAATAGAGAGCTGTTTGTTCAATGAGATATATGTATGGATAATAAGTGAGAGTTCTCAAACGCGAGAGAGTTTCCAAAGAACTTAAACGAATCAACGTTGAGTTTTATAACAAATACGTGCGTTTTTTGAACAAAAAGTATTGGTGAGTAGAAAAGCCAAAGCGAACAAAGTACCCGTGACATATAGGTTTTCACATCAAGTCATCAATTCTTGGAACCTGTTACCCGAAGTAGTGGTGTCTTTACCTTCAATTGGCGCATTCAAGTGAAGGCTGAATAGTCACAGAAGCATACTAGAAAAGGAATAACATAAGCCGTAGGCCTTCTGTCCTTACTACACTAATCTGAATCTGTCTTGACGTTCAAGTGATTCAAATGGTTTTTGACGGGATACAAGAAGCTTTCGCCTAATGGGCATCCGTATCTGGTAACAGTGAACCACCGATAACTTCGCGCAGGAACCTAGGCATTTTATCGACGAAATAGGAAACGAAGTTGGCAAATTATATTAAGATACCATCCATAGACCTTAGAAATATGTCAAGTTTTCTCTTAAACAACTCCGGGAAGTCACTTAAACCAGCTCAGCCGGCAGCAAATTCCAGCATTGGACTGCTTTTGGGGAGTAGAAGGTGTGTTTTCAGACCGTACAGCTGTTCTTTGTTTCCAGTTTTTGGGTTTTTCCCTTTAGATTTGTGTTGGAACTAAGCTTAAGTAGGTGTTTAAGGGAATGTTCATAAGTATTTGGGATGCTGTATGCTATCATAAGGTCATCTCTGAGGCGCTCTTCATAAGGTTTGAATTTGAGTTCCCGGTACTCTAAATAGGGACGAATAAAACTGTTGAAGATAGTATGAAAAGTTCTACCGTCGAACTGGTCAAAAATGCACTTCAATGTTACCAGTGCAAGGCTTGCTCGAAAGGCATTTTTGTCACGGTTATCGTAGGTTACCAACACTCCTAGAGCTTTTTCAACCTAGGGTACCTCTAGAGGGGAGTTAACTAAGTTGTAGCTGTAGTCTGAAAAATGTCTCAAGTAGACTACTCTACACTTTGAAATATTAAATTTATATCCGTTGTTATCTGAACAACTTCGAAGACCAGTCAAATCCTCTTCGTTGCAAACTTCTCTCCGGAGTTTTACCTCATCAACGAAAAGTAGAAAATCCCACGATACCTGTTGTGGAAGACCCTCTATATAAATCAAGTAAAGAAGTCTTAGTACTAAACCCCGAGGGGCCCCACCAGGACATTCCATAGCCAGCGAGAAACTGAATTTAACCCTGATCCTTAAATGTCGATTGAAGGTGATTTGAAATCTAATCAGTTAGGCGTACTGATACGACATATATGGTTGACCCTATCATAAGCTTTTGAGAAGCCAAGGTATATGACATCGACCTTCACCTTGCCATCAAGGATAGTTGTCCATCTGTTCACCACAGTCAGCAGGTTCTTTATACAAGAGTCACTTTTTCCGAGACTATACTGTAGGGCTGAAATGTTATTTATGGATGTTAAGTAGTCCTGTAGACCTTTGCATATCGGAGACTCCATAATTTTTGAGTATATGGAGTAAAGTGTTACCGGCCGGTAGCTTGAAGGTTCGCTGCGTCGACCTCCTTTGAATATTGGCGTTGTATGAGTCAGGTTTCAATTTTCTGATAATATGCCTCAGATTAGCGAATGTGAGAACATCACACTAAATGGTGTTGCCAAGTTCGAAGCTTATTTCCTCAGTATTGCAGAAAGAACTATATCCGGACCACGCGAAGTGTCTTTTTTAGGTGCTACAGTTTCCAGTACATCACGTCAGCCGTCAGGTTCACTTCCTGTATAGTTGTAGATGAAGCGTCCATCAGTAAGGTTTGTGTAGGTCGGTTGAAATGTCCGAGAGTATTGTTCTGCCAGAAGGTTAGCCGCATCGCCGTCGTTTTCGGTCGGGCCATTATGACCTTATCATTAGAAGACTCCAGTTTTGGCTTGTCGAAAAGAGGCTGCATGATGGAATAAGCTTTTGGAATTAGAGATAAATTTATCGATAAGCTCTATCTGGTGATGAAGCCTGTCTTCTTTCCAGTGGGCATCCACATCAAGTTGAAGGTGAACTTCCCGTTCACCTGCTGTAGATTGTTCTGCAAAGCTGGCACATCCAACCGCTTGTAATTCCAACGCCAGTTGCCGATAGGATGTCTTAGCTCAGTTTCGCAGATAAAAATGAAGCCTATAACAGCATGATGGCTTTTCCCCAGGGGAGACAAGATTGAGAGTTTGTCACTTAGGAATTCTCCGTTTGTCTAAGCATGGCGGCATCTGACTGTTTCTCCAACGAGTTACCGACTTGAAGTTTTCGAATAGTCCCAGATCTTCAATGAGGTTGACAAACCGAGCTTCAGTGGGTTTTACCTCCAATATACGCGTGTTCCACGAAACTGACTTTAGGAAGACTGAAGTCCCCTAGAATCAGGATGTGAGTGAACCGAGACGAGGATAATCCTTCCAGCACACGATGTCAGCAGTGGGCTTTCTGTAGATGCCTCCAAGTAGACACCTCGAGGTAGTAGTCAATCATACTGAGCGCCATACGGATTCATCGGATTGATTGGTTGTGCAATTTATGCACTTCCAAGGAAGATTGAAGGCAGAAGGTTACTTCACTCTCCATTCCTGTTTTCCTGTCGTCGCAAAACAAGGACATCCCGAGTATTGCTAACTCCTGGTTCGTAAACTGAAAAGATATCCATGTTTCAGATATTTCTATCAGATGAGTGTTATAGGTATTACTGAGTTCACGCAGCTCATTCATTTTATTTGGTAAACTCGCGGCGTTTATGCTTTCAATTTGAGATGCTTGAGCTTCTCTGTCATGTTTATTTGTATGAGTCACATGTGAATGGACAGATAACCTACCTACACTGGTTTTTACAGGTCAGTAACCCTTGTCATTTCTACGTTCTTTTCATCATCTTGACAGTCCACAAGTGGAACGGTTCGCCCCAACTTGCTCTCGTGCTTGATCCTGGCATTGTGTGGCCTATTCGGATGCATATAGGTTCCAGTTGATAACCGGCGTCTGTTAGTATGGAAGGTCTTGAAAGTTGCAGCCGCCGCATGTGAGGAAAGGGGAGTAACCCTTACCAGCCGGGGCCTAAAATCCACGTCCTTAGCTAGTCTCACCAATTGTTCAGCTTCTTAGAGGGTGACACCCGGTTTTTTAACTTTGTTGACGGGGGTTCGGTCGCCTACAGACTTTTGGGGAACACTGTTGCATCCATGGCCTCTGTGCTGGGTGGCCCAAGGTTGCTAAAGGAATCTAGTACCGTCAGTGTTATGATGGTGTTGAGCCTCAGCATTTCCCCACTAGTGTTGATGCATGTTCCGTCAATACTAATGTTGTTGAGGTCCCTCTTCTTTGCTTCACTATGCGTCTTTGTCTGTTGACCCGTTTGAAAACTACATTTTTTGGGTTTGCTGACATTTTCCGCAGACCTGAGAAGAGAATGATGGCATTGCTTGGCGAAAACTCAGCATTCATGTTGCACGTGCCACATACCCCCACCTATGATCCGACCTGCTGAGTCTGTTGTAAGCAGTTACTGTAAGATCTGTGCATGCTTCGTGAAAACAACCTGATATTTATACACTCTGATCCCACACTAAATCTACATACGAGGATGAAAGTAAACACGGTATGCTATAAATTTTCGATTGCTGAGTTAAGAGAAATCTAGGTGGAGCTCTAAATCTAACCATCTGTCGAAAACCAACACACTCGAATTGTTATATCAGCTTAAGTTTAGAACACCCATTCAGTGCATAAATGTCTCTGTCCCTGTATCTTGCGGATCAAACAGGATTATTACATATAAAGAAAATTCTAAAAAATGGCGAAATAAAACAATTTATATGTCACAATTTAGTGATTTTCCTGTGGGTATCATTAAAAATGTAGTAAAAGGAGACAACTTACTGCTAAACAGTAGTTTAAATGACGTGTAATGGATAAGTACTGTATTATTGTTATTATTATTCACAAACATCTTATGGATAAATAAGTGTTGTGAAGAAACCATTTTATGCTACATTTATAGTACGACAGAAGTCTGAAAAGTCTTAACTAACACAAAGTCAAAGGACTCTACAATGCAAACAACACCGTTTAAGATGACTCACTTCATAAAAACACAGAATCGTGTCTGCACTCTAGGATATATTGACTGTGATGCCTTCTATATTGGGTTGTCATCTCGTGAAATCTCGACTCGATCCAAAGAACACGCTAGGTACGCAAGAAAACCTAAGAATACGGCGAAACTCCAAAAACTCCAAATTAGATCGGCAATAGAGGTCCACTTCTTTCCCAATAACCATGAAGTCGGTATTAAAAAATACCAAAAAAATACAAGAAGATTTTTCCAAAAACGAAGAAAGGGGAGTGACCGAAGCTTCCGATAAACTGCTAGATCCTACTACCATCAACAAAATGGAAGGCCTTACTATCCATTCGACTCGATCCATTTATCCGAGCTTCCGAGAACAATTTTGTTTGCATTTCACATCATAATTTTACATACCAAATTAGCTCTATCGCTTCATGTTACAACCGTCACATTTTTCACTAGTCAACGAATAAGTACACAAACACGTCTTACACAAACCACCTGGACCGAGGTGACATGATATTGACTTGGTCAGGCGTATAGTTTATTGATTGTACAAAATATTTTTCGCTTTGTCTCTCTGTACTATTTATACTTGGGCTCATTTAGTTTGTTTATTTATTCTCAGAAAAAAGTGGTTTACACTGAGCCACGAAGCACGAGAAAACCTAATTTTTCTACTGATTATGACATTACAAATAAATTGTTTCTTCAAATGAAGATCCACCTAACCCTCAACTTATTTGAATTTGTCAAGTCAAATCTTGGTAATGAAACCATATTATTACCCTGCTTCAGCAATGATAAATTTAAACCGAGACACCAAGCAAACAAGCCAACAGAG